GTAAGTAGTACATGAATAAAAAAATCATAGTAAACCCTCACATACAGAAATACTGAATGTCAGAAATGATGCAAAAATTGTTTGCTGACTTCACTAACACAGATGTTTCTCATGGGTTTTGACTCGTATTTTATTACTGTATTTTCAAATGTTACAAAACCCAGCAAAGGTATGATGGAAAGTACCCTGACATTCAAGTGGTCACTTCTTCAGACGTTGTTGTGCTGAACGGGAGATTTTTAGAAGTACATTTTCTTCAAAGTTTGGTAACTTCCTCAGGAACAAACTATACATTGGTACTGTTTGCTGTTGCTTGTTAGGAAACAAAAAAAATTATATACCTTTCTTGAATCAAATGTACAGCTGAGGGGACCTACTCTGTCAGGAATGACAAATTATTTTGTATAACCTGCTTTGCCTATGAACACAAAATCATTTCTTGCTTATCTTTTTCAAAGGAAAACTACTATATTTGTGTACTCTGCTTAAAGTGTAAATCAGGATTCTCCTCTCATTTGTATCAGACTACTGAGTGTAAATCCAGTTAAAAGTCACAATCAAATTACCTTTGCAAAAATTAATAGATTTTCTAAAAAAACCCCCGAACCTCTAGGAATCAAGTCTTTACCCACTTTGTGTGGACAAGACTGTATTTCTACTCTATCTTTAACTATTCACTATGCACTTGATGTTGTGGGTGGTGTTTTTTAATGTGCTCACACATCATACTAGATTTTAATCAAAACAGCCTCTCCATCAGTGTAGAATTGAAAATAAGTGGAAGAGTCCCTGCTTTATGTATCTGTTAACAAGACCAGAGTCTGTTCCATTTTGCTGATAACATTTCTGTGTTAGTACTTTTGTTTCAGGGAACTATGAAAAAATAGAAGAGAAAACACAGGGGAGCCTAAATACAGATTTCTTCAATCTGCTAACCTTCTAATTCTCTTATTAAAACTCTACCAGAGACAGAAGACCAGACATTCTGCAGAACAACAAAAAAAAAAAGGTGACAATCCACCCATTAAACATATTGATTTTCAACTGCAGTACCAAGGAATGATCTACAACTATGTGTTAAAGCAATTTGCATACAAAAATATTATGAAAAATACATTTGAAAAATGGTTATTATTTAAAAAAAAAATCTGTCTGCTGATATCCTAATACCTACATAAGCAGAGATCCAGCACTAGTCATAAGGAATGTTGTTATTGAATTTAATTTCTTTCAAGTTACCCAGAAGGGCAAAATTCTATTCTCTTTATTTATGAGTATTCCCATCTGGTATTAATGGGCTTATTTTGCTAGTTTGGTTAAAGATTCACATACAAGAGCTTCCTCAAAGAATCTTAGACATAAGCAGTTCCTGGCTTCTGTTTATTCCACTCAGCCGCAACAGTTTCTTCAGTTTATTGAAGAATGAATTCTCCTTTTCAAATAAAATAGTATTTTCAGCTAGCTTTTAAATCACTCAGACATTGTATCTGACTGTACTGTCAGATAAAAAGTTGCAGTTAGTCATAAGAGTTGCAAGATTTTACGCCATGGGACTTCCAAAGTGCTCAGCAAGGTAGCTACAGTGTGTAACTCCACAGTGACGCTGAAATACTCCATGGTCTTTCAGAAGTCTGAAGAAACCTGTAAATGCCCACAATAGACACTACGGAGATGAAACAATTCATCTCCCCTTGACATACGAAGTTTAATAATCCAGCCACCACAGGCTCCTGCCCATTAGCAAAGTCACCAAAAGCATGACAAGGGAGGGAAAAAAAAAAAAAAAGAAAAAAGGACGGTATATATGCTAACGCATGAGTCACTGTCTACTTGCTCAAACAGAGGTATTTGGAATGTGGGATTGTAGTATTGTAGTTTAATTTTTCATATTTACTCCCTCAATTAGCAGCTTTTCCATTACATCTTTGAGAAAGAGAACTAAATATGTGAATTTTTCATGAAAATGGTAAAAAAGTTCTATTACACGATAATAGCATGACTACATGCCCAGCTTTAATATGTGTGGTCTTGCACTCGGTCTGAAACTGAGACTAAAAATATAATGATGCCCGTGTCCAGCAGTGAATGCTATAGGTGCCAGAAATATACATACGTTGGCATCTTGCTATCTCAATTATCAGGACAGGCATAATTAAGCACATTGTGAAAATTACTAACTTCATCACTTCCATACGGTGGAAAAAATAACAAACTTGTAGCGTTTTCACTTTCTTACTATAAGCAAGCAGTCATCCTCCTGTAGATGTTTAGAAGCACTCCGACTGTACCTCATCTCTCCATTGACTATCAAAACACAGTGATTAAAATCAGGTGGAGATGTATACACAGCAGCCATCTAAAACAGGCACTCAGGGTCCCTTTTCTTCACTCGAGGGAGGGTGGGTGTGAAGTGACGCGTCACAGCGAGGTTGGCAGAAGACGTAGGAACACCATCTGAGCCAGAAGCCAGCCACGCTATCCATGAGGTCCTGTTGTAGTCCTGCAACCTTCTCCGCAATCTCGTTTCTCAGATTGTCTTAATATTTTTGCCATCATAGCTTTCACATTTACATTTCAGACACAAGTCTCTGTATTCTACTCTGTCTGTCATCTGTACTTGTCTCCTGACTGTATTCTGTATGACCATATGACTGGATATTCCCTGAATCGCTTGGACTGGCAGAGCCGGCGGGGCTGGGAGGCAGCCAGGGGTTGTTGTAGGGTGGAAACCAAAGGTAAAAAGTGCACGTACCCTTAAGCATCACTCACGTATAACTGTCTGTATAAGGTTCAGCTGTCTGTATTCTCCTCTTCACATGTCTGCCTGGGTTATGTCTAGTTGAAAAAAGGTAGATCTTCAGGGCAGGGACCGCTCAGGTCTTTATTTCTTTCTTATGCTCTACATAGAGCTTAGATAAATATTAAATTATAGTAATACTAAGAAGGCAAAGCTGTCCTTCACAATTATGCGATTATTTTTCACAGCATTGAGAATGGATTTCCAAACTCAATTGGTTTTCTCTTCTTGCTAAACGCAGTATTAATGGTACCATTCGCAGGGTCAGAAAATGCCTGTACTAAAAAATTAGATGAGACTTCATCTGTGCTCTTAGTTAGCATCAGTCTCAAACAGAAATTGCTTAATAATAAGTGTTTTTCTTTTTTTCTAATTTTATGAGCTTGTTGCTGAAGCTTAAGTTAGAAAAAAAATAAATCTGTGAAACAGACAACATCCTTAGAAATAATTTGTACATAATTCTAAAGTGTACTTCAGTCAAAGGATCATGATCCTGATGGTCTTCACTTCTGATTTAATACTTTGCTGTCTCAAGTTGACTTTATTGCAGTAGCAATGCAATGATGCTAGAACGGCACTGTAAATAAAACATGCCAACTTGGTTGCACAGTCCAAATAAATAACTTTAAATAAATAAATAACGTCACCACACAAACATCAGTCAAAAATGCAATTAAAAAGAGCCTCTTGCTTTGTGTTGTAAAAATATGAAATAGTACTCAGGACAAGCTGTTTCAAATAAAATTCTTTCCTATATTCAGCAACTCCAAGGTCAAAGTACTGGAACTTCATTTTTCGAAGTTGAAAGGATGATTTAATAATTATTTGGTATGAAGACAACTCTGTTTCTCTACCCTGCATACAATATCAAATTCAGTATAGCTTGATATATTGTGTATTTTCATTCACGCTTTCATTACAGCCCTGTGAAGTACAATCATTTATTATACATTCTCTTGAATCTTTTTGAAACAGCAAACAAAATGTAAAACGCAAAGGGAGAGAAAAGAAAGCACCAGAAATCTTACTAGAAAAACAGTATTCCCTTTCTTATCCTCCTGTTCTAACCATGAACTGCAGTGAGCACTGAACAGTGGTGGACATTGGAAAATAAAACTGAACGATAGGACCTTATGCAGCTTTAACATCCTAGTACAGCAGTGATAAATTCTGAGTGCCACCACAGTGTCACCTCTATGATAATTACTCAAGGAATAGATATCTCATTAAAGAGAACTAAGTGTCTCAGAAATGGTCTTTGCTAGCAGAGTTAGTAATATATTGGAGAGAAAGGACATGTCAGTTCTCAATTCTTTGCTAAACTTGAGTTCAACAGTCTAGCATGTCTAGTACTAACAGCAGAAGTCACTCAGGCTTTTGATGCTCCTTTTCCTCGCCTCAGCCCAAATGACCTTATTTTTGGAACCATAAAATCATAGAATTGTCTACGTTGGAAGGGACCTTTAAGATCATCAAGTCCAACATCAACCTAACGCTGCCAAAACACAGAGCACTGGGTCAGTTATTCACACAAGGCTCACACCACAGACAAATGCAAAGGGCAGAGCGCACCATCACACGAAGGAGGTTTTTTTGCCACATATTTGTGACCCAGATTGCTTTCTTAACAGCTAGATTCAAAGGAGCAGACATCAGGGAGACTACAGGGAATTATCTCCTCAGTTACCCTCACTGGCAGGAGACATTACAGTACAAGGACCTCTCATCAAAGTAAAGAATGTTCATGTGAAAGTGGGAAGTGGAATCTTAATAGCAAATACTGATTTTCATCTATTACAGTGCTATAATGTGCGTACACCTAATATTGTAAATGCTTGAAATATGGAAGTATGTCTTGTTTGGCTGAATTTCTCTCATCCTCCTAAGAGAAGCTTTGAATTTACAAAACAACTAACTTCCATTTCTTTGTCTGATGTCATTTGTTGCAGAAAACGCCTTCTAATGTGGGAAGTCACAGAGTTCTCACCTGGTTGTTGAAGAAGAGAAATCAACAAAGTTTTCACAATAAAAGGCCAGCAGGCTTTTTGCAAGTAATGGTGTTATAAAGTGCCCTTACTAATAGCGACTGCAAACTAAACATTTATTTACCCTTAAGTAGTCTTAGCTAAACACCATTTGCTCTAGTGGAAATAGATTGACTAGGCAGCCTCGGCAGCTTGAATGAAACATTAGGAGAGTGTACCTGCATGACAATAAGAAGGTCAAACACCAAGATGAAGGAAGCCAAGAAGGCTCTTGAGACCTCGTCACTTGGCAGAAATCCACGATTCAGCTTGTCCCAGCTGATCCAGTCAGTTGTGATGACAAGCACAACTACAGAGGTCAGAGTAAACAGAACCGTCCTGCAAGGGGGGGGAAAAAAGAGGTTCAGAGAGAATACGTTAGTAATGAAGATGCATCATTCTATTTTATTTGTCTTCTAATGGTCAGCTAGTGCTTTACAAGTACTTTTCTGCTGATGAAAAGAGACTGAAGAAAATTAAGTGTACAAACAAATCATTTAATTCAAAAGAGGAAAGCAGTCAGCTGTATCCTTAGTAAAAAGAAATTTAGTAGCTAGTACTAAGCATGTTGCAAAATTAGGCTGGAGTGTATCACTCTTGTTCTTCGTTCCATATTTTTCACTGAAGATGCAAACCAATTAGGCAAAATAAGAAAGAAGTAAACTATAATAACGTCCCAAGGACTGTATGATCTAGGCTGAATTCAAATGAACAACTTGAGAGAACATTTTCTAAGGCACCAAAGACATTAGAACCTTTGAAAAGTCTTTTCTCAGCTGTAGGAAACTAACTGTGAAGTCTAATTTTTGTACAGAAACACACCTGTATGAAAGAAATTTTCATTCCACTAAATTAATCTTTAGTAAATTCTGGGGATTGTAGAAAGATTTTGCCTTGTGTCTCCTAAGATGTTCTTTGTACAAGTTTTCAACACATCTTACGGCATTTCTGAGAAGTCAGTAAAGAGTGAATTACAAAAGTAATAAAGCCTCCACATGAGTGCTATGAGAATTCCAGAAGACACATTTGGCTAATTCATACCATTTTGCAATATGCTGTTTAAGAAAATATCTTTCTAAGCTATCTCCCCAAAATAGCTCTGCGTCATTTCCAGGAGCACTTTTGTGATATCCTTCAGAGCTGGCAGTGATGACTGACTGAACTCCTGGTTCTGTGGAAGCAGACAAATTTAGCTGGTAATCTGAGGGGGAGCAAGTCTTCTCCCCATAGCTGTAGCTGTCAGTAAATCTGTGCTATAATAGGGGCATATCAACACCTGAATGCACGCAGCACATCTAAATAATTGTGGCAGGGGGGATTTTTTTTTTCTACAATAAAGTCTCATTTTCTTCAGCTACCAAGGGCTGTAAAACAATGTGAAGAATATTTCCCATGACACTTCCAAATGGGACAAATGCTCAGAAGACTAAAAGAAAAATCTGTACACCAGTACTCACAGACTACCAGTCTGCAGGCATTTATTTTTATACATCAGCCTTGCTGTGTCTGTGTAGGAAGGGAAAACAAATATGCACATAAGCAGTAGAGTACACATTTGGACTCCTAAACATCATTCTTTGGCACAATGTGCTGTGTTTCTTCACAATATATGGAGACACAAAACGATTTGATTGCTACCACCTTTACCTCTGAACGTTTATTTTTATTCTTAATAAGTAAATTCAGTTATATTCAATACTGTGCTTGGCACCGTAACAGTATCCCTTGAGTGTAATACCAGCATCTGGGCCAGAAAGAAATAAATGAGGCTTATTAGACTTCATTAGACCTAAGCAATGTTCAAACCTGCTTATCCCCAAAACATTTGCTTAGCTACCATCTCACCTGTCAGTACCTGAACCTGACAAACTTTTCTACAGGCTCCACTCTGGCACATACCCACAATGGCTTACTTTGGAAAGGCGATTCATTATGGTGCTTCTCTCATGTATATAGTCTCCTGAGATCCACAAAGGTGGTTTTCCCCACCTATTTCACCTTCATATTTGAACTTCACATGGAGGTAAATGTTTTCACTTTCACTGAGAAGTTCTCCAGAAAAGATCACAGTCCTCAGTGCTTGCCTGCCGGGCCGTGCAGACTGCCCTGGCTGTTGGGAGCACTCATTTTCCTCGTCCTTATGCTGATGCAACCCGCATCTCCTGGTGCACAGACAGTTTAGAAACGTTATTCAAGTCTGCGTAGTTTGCTATGGGAACCATGTACCCAGAAGTTATGCTCAACACTATTCTGCTTCAGTCCTCTTGAATTATGCATTTGCGTTTTGGAGCAAGAGTTCAAAGCATGGAAGGTCGGACTTTGGCATGTACGCAAGCAAAGGCAGACATATTTTTATGCATGCTTCATTGGCATGCATGCAAAGACCAACGTATGTGCTCAAGCCTTGATTTCCTTGAGGAAATGCATATGCACTTAAAAAACTACTTCGTTATTCATTCTGAAATGTCAAATAGGGAAGGAAAGGAACAGAAAATGGGCTGCTAACAGAATAAGAAAATGTGAAACCAATAAAAAAGGTTAGAAATAGACTTTTGAAATGGTTGCATTAAACAGCATAATTAGCAGTCATTTGTATTTTTGACCTATGGTACTGGAACACAGAAAAATATTCAATACATGCTTTTGGAGTCATTATAAACCGAGTTTGTCTGGGTTAGAGTTCAGTTCAGTTCTTGTGAAAGTACAGCATTGTTCCAGCGTCCTGGTGATTAAGAGAAGAAAGATGCTGAGGATTTCATTTAACTTGACATAACTTGTATCAGATGAACCAATGTGTGCTACACTTCAATATTTACACCAGTATAGTTTGTCCTTTATTCTACAATGCACATCCCTGAGAAAGAGCTATGCCATCAAACTGCTCACAGCATTGCTGAAGGACCTCTCTGTCTCCTGCTTATAGAAGGACTATGAGGAAAAAGCCAAGAGAGGATTGACTCTTCTCTGTACCAGACATTAAGAAATGCAACTTCTTTCTCTACTTCACAGAGGAAATACACTTTTACATTTCACTTCTAGTTCGAGCTTGCTGTATTGAATGATTATGTGCTCTGGGCACCTATTCAGCTACAATAACATACATTTTACAACCTAGCCCATACTCTTCAAGATACGAGGTTGCTATGAAGAATAAAAATAATAAAAAAAAAGTCTGTAAAAAACACTGTCCAGGCCAATTGCACACTGAGAAGTTAAAATCAGGTAGGTCAAGAAAAGCCAGTACTGTGATTATCACTGCCAACAATGATCTAAAACCCCTAGTTCTACAATGAACTGTGGGAAAGCTTGAAGAGAGGAACTTTTTACTGCTGGCACCTCTCAAGAAGCAGGCAATTGTTTAGACTGTATCTCTATAATCTTTGATAGCCAGGACTGAGTTTGGTCTTGAATTTGTCAAACCAAGTCACTTATACCAAACTGAATCCACACTGCTGGCCCTCATTTCCCAACACAACATTAATTTTGCCCTTACACACTTAGCAAGGGTCAAACCAGATGTATTTGGCTTCTGCACCTTGCCACAACAGCACTTTTTTGGACCATAAGCTTTGCTCAAGCTGACCAACCACTTAGCATTTATCACCCAGCATATTATATGCCATGAGAGGTTATGCACAACACAGGCCAGAAGCATGAGCAGGTTTTTATCGTTGGTGGTGGCTGCAGACAATCCCTTGTGGCAGACAGGGTCATAACTTCAACATTGCAGCCTCTATCATGCAGAAATGTCATTTCTGGAGGAGAAAGGCTGTGACACCTCATTTTCCTCTGCATTATTACAATCAATAGTACGTACAGAACATTCACATGCAATGGGCCATCTTCAACAAACTGTGCCAAGAACCCAGCATTAATTTACCCACAATGTCTCCATACTGCCATCCTAGGGCTCAAGGAAGCCATCATCCTCTGAAGTCCGGACAACCCAATCTCGATGAGTTGTTTGGAAAGCACATAGAGGTGGGGAAATTCAGAGCTTGTGTCACACACCCCCATCACAGGTGTTATCCACAGCTTTGCTCTGTGTGATCTCTTGAACTTTGCAAAAGTCTGAGATGCTGGTTGCATGCGAATCTTCTGTTTGCTCAGTGGTGGTCATAGTTATGTGAATAGGTAACGGCTGTCACTGCAGCATAATGCAGACCCTGGTGGATGAACAGGTTTGCATGTTATGTTTAGAAAACAGGACATCTTTGATTTGGGGCAGTCCAGTGTAGAGTTACTGACCTGCACTGTTGGCAGTGCTGCATATTGCCTGCTGCCCCTGCTGTCTCTGTTTCTGTCTCAGACCAGAATTATTTTTTTTTATATCCTTATAAATTTCACAGCATGCTTATGGAGCATGCATTGGGCTGCTTTGCTATGACAGATTATGGACTTCACTAGATACAAGCTTCCTAAACCCTGTGCACACTAAGCCAGCATGCAGCACACTGCATAGTTTCTGCTAAAGAAGAAACTTTGCTAACAGGACCATCACTGGAAACAGTGGGCTTCATTTTGCTATGAGAGTCTATACATACCTACACTGCCCACACATGCAATGGTCATCATGCATATTATCTCAGCCTTATTTCTGCCTGTCAGGCTGAAAACATCACATGCTTCTCTTAAACACCTCCTGCTCTTTCAAAAGTCACAAAAAATTCTTCCCGGACTTACTCTGTCTCTCTGACCCTTGTGTACAAAGCTTGAGCTGTCACTTGGGACATGATGAACAGAAATCAGACTCTGTTGTAAAGGAAAGTAGCTCTTCCTCATCCCTCCCTTGCCAGTGCTCTCCCTTCACCCTCTGAGAAAAACACTCCTTATGGGGCTTTCTGAGAAATTTCCCTGCTGGTATCCCAGTGCCCCGATGCCCTGCATGTCACACTGGCACAACTCTGGCCAAAGGGTGAACAAGAACTGAAAAAACTTAAATCAGAAACACAGACACATTAAATAAACCAGACATACTTACAAAATATAATGGAAAAAACAACTTGGACACAAACACCAAGGTCACAAAGCCAATGCAACATTACAGCAGGGAAAAGTAACAGAAGCAAAATAGGGCCAGTTGAGGCCAATACACTTTTCCTAGAAAATACAATTTGGGTGAGCAGACCCGTGTCCTCCTTAAGCAGACAATATTCTAAAGTTAAAATGCTAGACCTACATGCCTTCACCCACTCTCCAAAATACTGAGGATAGGATGGGATTTCCTAGAAAGGTCTTCCAGGACTCTAAGATAAATCCAAAATGTTCACTGAAAGAAAGCAAAACCCACAAACCCCAGTGGAGTAAACAATCCATCCATTGCTGTGATGACTTAGATT